GGCCCGCGGGGCTCGGGGCCCCCCGCACCCGCACGCAGCCCCGCGCCGCCTCGCCCGCTGGCGTGGCCTGCTGGTGGGACGGTGGTGGGGCAGAGTCACCGCTTCCCCCGCCACCCCAAGCCCCCCTGCCCCGGGCTGGCTCCTGTGCGGGGACAGGAAAGATGTGTTTGGACAGCGCCAGGGCCAGGCTTTGATCCAGCGCTTGCAAGGCTGGGAGCGGGTGGTACCGGGAGAAAAGGAAGCACAAAAGGCAGCTCCAGCCTAAATTTAACAGTGGGACCCTGGCCAGTGGCTGGGATGCCCTTGACCGTCGGCTCCAGTACTCCTGGCCCCCCTCCCTGGCTGACCCAGCACTGGGACCCCCCCAGGGACACGAGTGGCACTTGCAGTGGGATGGATCACGCCACAACCCGTGTGGGGTCTGGGGGTGTGGGACATGGCCATGTGCCCGAGTGAGTGGGCTGTGCCCCCCCTGGGGCTGTGCAGGCCTGGGGCATGGCCATGGGGGTGGGTGCTGGCTGTCACCCTGGGGAGTTTTGGGACCCAAGTGCCCCACCCACCCCTGCTACCCAGTGCTGTACCCTGCGTGCAGCGCCATGCTGGAGCTGGGTGGATGCACTCCAGGGTGCAGCACTGTCTCTGTGTTCCCCTCCAGGCAGAGCCTGTGGCTAACCATGGCCCTCCTGACATTCTCTCTCCTTCTGGGTAAGTGCTGGCCTCAGTGGAACACTGTGCAGAGCATCCACAGTGCTGGGGGCTGCAGTGATCCTGGGCTGCCAGCCCGGGTGGAGGGCGGCGGGTGGTGGCAGTGATGGCAATGCTCCCTGGTTGGCAGCAGCCTGACCACTGCAAATCCCAGTGGGGAATGCAGGCTGCACTGAGCCCTGATGGGATTAGCAAGCGCCTGACTTGGCTCCTGGCTCCCCCCAGCACCACTCAGCACACTGGGAGCTGCCCAGCCCCCCAAGAGCACAGGCAGCCACCCCCTGCCCGGCCCCTCGGGTCCTGCGGCTGCCAGCCCCCCGCTTGCCCCCACTGCCCGCCTGGCCCCACTCCCTGCCCCCCGGTCACGAGGTCCCAGGGCTGCTGCCAGCACCTTTCCGGGTCATGGAGCTTCGTGCTGCATCAGTGGGTCAGGATGCAGGGATGGGACGGGATGGGACAGATGGGGGAGGGGGGGGTGCTGGGCAGGCATTGAGGCGCAGGGAAGGTTTTGGGGTGCCTAGGGGTGCTGGAGCAGCCCTTAGCTCACATTCTCATAATCCCTGCAGCATGGCTGCCACTGGTGGGGGGCTGGCAGGAGCCTGACCAGAGCCATGGCTGTGCTGGTGGCAGCTGCTACCCAGCCACTGGGAACCTGCTGGTGGGGCGAGCCCCCCGCCTGAGTGCCACCTCCACCTGCGGGCTGGACGGGCCCCAGGAGTACTGCATCGTCAGCCACCTCCAGGTGAGCCCACCCAGCCCTGGCAGGGCCCTGGGACAGCCGGGCACCGGCACAGCCTCCAGCCACCAATCCCTGATGGTGCCGTTCCCTGGCACAGGACTCGGAGAAATGCTTCACCTGCGACTCCCGGGACCCAGCCCTGCCCGAGAGCCACCGCATCGAGAATGTCATCTACCTGACTGGCCCCCATGGCCAGCGGACCTGGTGGCAGTCAGAGAACGGTGAGGCTAGGGCAGCAGCAGGGCTGCCCCCATGTGCATGTGCCTCAAAGCTGCATGGCCACTGGACCCAGAGGGGTCTTCCCTGGCCTTGGATGTCTCCTCTCTGTTCCCCCCAGGTGTGGAGCATGTCAGCATCCGTCTGGACCTAGAGGGAGAGTTCCACTTCACCCACCTCATCATGAAGTTTAAGGTGGGTCCCAGCACATGAGTGCTTGGGGCTGGGTGGGATAGGATGGGATGGACCCTTGGGGGCTGGGGGGCCGGTCCCCATCCCAGCTGGGTGTCCCGCAGACCTTCCGTCCCGCGGCCATGCTGGTGGAGCGCTCAGCTGACTTTGGGCACAGCTGGAAGGTCTACCGCTACTTCGCCTACAACTGCTCCAAGCTCTTCCCTGGCATCCCCAGCCAGCCCTCGGGGCTGGTGGACGAGGTGTTGTGTGACCAGCGCTACTCTGAGATCGAGCCCTCCAGCCATGGGGAGGTGTGTGGGGCCAGGGTGGTGCAGAGGGGAGACAGGGGCCTGGCAGGGAATCTGGGCTCATCCACTGTTCTTCCCCAGGTCATCTTCAAGGTGCTGGACCCCTCTATCCCTGTGGTGGATCCCTACAGCCCGGACATCCAGGGTGCGTGGCTGGGGGTGTCATGGCTGTGGGGCTGGCAGGGTGGGTGCTGATGGTGTCATAACCCCCCAGACCTGCTGCGTGTCACCAACCTGCGGGTGAACCTCACCAAGCTGCACACACTGGGGGACAACCTGCTGGACACGCGCCGGGAGGTGCTGCACAAGTACTACTATGCCGTGGATGAGCTGGTGCTGCGTGGGAGCTGCTTCTGCCATGGCCATGCTGCCCATTGTGCCCCGGCACCCGGTGCTCCAGCATCCTCCATCCCTGGCATGGTGAGGCACACACAACCACTGGCATGGTAGGGTGCCCCATGGAATCCATTGGCCATGCTGAGCCAGGTGTTCCCCCTAGATCCATGGGCGCTGTGTCTGTGAGCACCACACACAGGGGCTGAACTGTGAGCGCTGTGAGGATTTCTACCACGACCTGCCCTGGCGCCCGGCCGAGGGCTCCAGCACCAATGCCTGCCGCCGTGAGTGCCCAGCACCAGCACCGTGCTGTGCCCAGGGGCTTGGGGTCCCACCTGCTGGGTTGGGAGAGTGAGGGTCCTGCATGTTGTGCTTGGGGATTTGGGGTCTTGCATGTCATGCCAAGGGGTTCAGCATCCTGATTCATGACTTGGGGCTGGGGTTTGAGCATCCCACCTGCCAGCCTTTGGGGCTGGGGGTACTGCACATGGTGCTGTGGTTTGAGGCATCAGGATGCTGCAGGCTGTGGTTTGGGGGCTGGGGGTTCTACAAGCTGGGGCTTGAGGGAATGCGATGGAGGAGCTGCATCCCCAGGTTTGGCACTGGGGGTGCTGCCGGGCGGGGGATTGGGGGGCCACATGCCCTGCCTTGGTGCCATCCCCTCAGGCTGCGACTGCAACGAGCACTCACAGCGGTGCCACTTCGACATGGCCGTCTTCCTGGCCACGGGGAACACCAGCGGGGCCGTGTGTGACGGCTGCCAGCACAACACCATGGGCCGCCGCTGCCACCTCTGCAAGCCCTTCTACTACCGGCACCCCCGCTCCGATATCCGTGCCCCCACTGCCTGTGCCCGTGAGTGCCCGGGGACC